GTACAGCTGCTGATCAGGAGGAATCCGGCGTCGTCTTCTGGTGGAACCGACCTTCGAATCTCTTCACCCAACACTTCCACTCAAAATGGAAGTAAGTTTAACAATTATGAAACAAGAGATTCCTCGAAACCCAACTTTTATTCCCATCCTTGATTAAACCCGTGTAGCCTGAGCAGACTGTGGACATCTATCTTTGGCCGCCTGCTGCATCTCGAGTGGGTTGTTAGTAACTGTAACTTAACTGACGAATTTCTGCGACGGTTGTCATTATTCGTCATCCTAGTTACCTGATCGTTGGGCCTCCAAACTTGTAATTGTTTCTGCGAACGGACTACATTAACTGAGAACGTCTTCACTTCACGTACGAAACTTTATTATCTCTTCTTCCTTGTGATCCCTTTTCCTCTGGTTAACGAAAGAATCTTGATCCAAGAATCCTTGTTCTTCCCTCAGATTGATTAGGCCAGTGATTCCCAAACTGTGCCCCGCGGCGCCCTCAGTAGCTGCGTCTCTTTACAGGGAAGCTTCAATTTAAGAAAATGTGTAGTGATTTGCAGGCTCATCCATCACATTGATTATTAAATATTAATTTAATGTTAATAAAGTAAAGAAAAATAATGAAAATACACGAGTTTTAGTCTTTTTATCTCTTACTTATGAATAATCATACTTAGGGTAGGACGCCATGGCAAAATTTTAATTGAAAAAGGGCGCCGCGACCAGGAAAAGTTTTAGAACCACTGGCTTAGGAAATAGGCGAAGTTATCGCTAACTCTGCCTCGCTCCGATTTCCTGTTTATTAGAATTTTTCCACAAAGACGTCAATGGTCTGCATAATCTTTCGTTTATTTGTGTCTTCAACGCACGAGGCCTTTCTTTCTGTTATATTATTTCGCTTTAAGGTGATGAATGACTGGTGATTCATTTTTCCCAAAATGCAATGCGTAGAGCTGATGTTTTTCATCGAGTTTCCCATAGCCTTGTTTTCCCAAAAGTTGTTCTCATCCAGACTGGACCACAATTTCAACATCGTCTAGGTCCAGTAAACACCCCCAGCGGGAGTCGAACCATGCCAGTGCTTTGTGCAATCTTGACACTTTAACGACTACGCCACATTTCCACGAGTTCCCCTGAGTCATAGAGCAGGTGTGAATTTCAAGAAAGCTCTGGCATTTTCCCATATCGCATTCTTTGTGGGATTGTCGAACTAATCATCCGTTTACTTATTTTATCACTTCTTTCTATTGCCTTCCAATTGATCTCGTGTCCAATCTGTGCGATGTGTTCTGCCATTTCGGATCTTTTCATATCCATTTTCCTGCGAGTCTTTGATGTTCCTTCATTCGTATGCCGATTTTTCTCCCAGTTTCGTCAATGTATTTCTGTTCGCAGACGCCACATGCTATGCAGTAAACTCATGAGCAATCCAATTTGTCTACCCCCTCATGTTACGTAGTTAAACTTATGGAGAGTATTGTTTTTCCTTTCGTGGTCACCGGAATATTCCATTTAATTACTGTCGGCCGTAGATTTTAGGCTAGTTCGCAGGAAAGGAGGCATATCCACTTTTGTGTGTCTTTTTCCATCTTTACCCTTCTTTCACAATCCCCGTTCTTCGCAGTCAATATGTTTCTTTGTATTACCTTTCTCGGGCATCCGTTACCGAGGCATATCCGAGTCGACTTTTCACATTATTCTTCCCAAAATTCTACATCCATTAATCGTAGCCTTCTGATGATCCTGCTCCTCACTATTCCCATCTTCAGTCTGTAGATGTGATGCGACTCAAAATGGAGTATTATTACGGCATATGAATTCTTACGGAACACTTTTCTCTAGAGTTTCCCATTCGAGCCAATTACTTCCACATATAGAAAAGCTAAACGCCCCTCTTCCTCTACCTCATTGTGGACTCGATTCTTCCCTCAATCCGGTTTATAAACTTCAAAAAATCCTTACATTTTTCTACTCCATGCGGCCAAACTGCGAAGTAGTCATTCAGGTACCGCATAAAAACTCTTGTTTCCAACGCAGACGTCTTGGAATTGTCTTCTAGTCTGTTAATATATGCATTTTTCAATAGAGCTGATAGCAGCGGCCACATAAGAAGTCAAAATGTCTGTTCATATAAGTTGCCATTGCATGTGAATTAGGTAATCCTTATTGCCAAGTTGATTAATCGTGTTAACAACTCCCTTCTGATACTCTCTACTTCTAGCATATCTTTTTCTAGATCCACAATCTATCCAAGGGCGGTAAGAGCCTTTTCTGCAGAAATGTTCGTGTGCATAAATAATAAATAATGCCGCTTCTTCCAGTGTCATGTTTCTGATCCTTTGAGAGAACTCATATGAATGATTCACTGCGTTTGATAATCTATCATTTACCTCATCGCGCTTCAGACACAGGAACTTTGTCAATTAGTGTGTTGCTCTATACTTGCTGTTGACTATCCGCCTTAGTGATTCTCCTTCTTGTGTAACATCATTAACCGGTAAGCTGTTGGTGGCCGTGTATCCTTTTTTATTAGTGAATTCATTGTCCATCCATTGATCTCTCCGTTCCTATGCCTATCTTTCAACATGTCACGTAAGGTTCCACTAGTCTTCATAGTTGGGTCATTCTTTAGCATACGATACGTGTTCTTGTCTCGCAGTATATTGCTTTCATTTTCGTATGAGTAGAGTTTCGGGACTACCAGTAAATCACTATAATGAGATGTATTCACCCTATTTCGTGTAAGGTGATGAAGTACTGGTAGTAGAATTTTCCCACAACTCAACTCATATCATTGTGGGAAAATTCTACTACCAGTCCTTCATCACCTTACACGAAATAGAGTGAATACATCATATTATAATGTTTTCAGTCCATTGCGACTGTCGCTCATCCTTTGTACGCCTGAAGAACCAATTGTTCATCCATTTCTAGGGTCCGACGTATACTCGAAAATCTGTTAATGTGTGTTGGTCCATGATGCATCAAGATTATCGAGATTATTTTCATCTCCATTTCCCGTTTTGTCTTCTCAGGTTACTTGCCGGAGATATTGATGGCCTCCACCAGAATGTCTTCTATAAGGTTTTTGCCATTTTGATAAGAAAAATTTGGTCCTTTCCTCAGGATCGTATTGGTTTTAGGAGCAAGACGAAGCGAGGATAGATTCACCATCTTATGCCGTTTGTCGAACTGATCAGTTGGCGTCGTTACTTTGGAAACCCATTTAACTGAGAGAGCTGGCTTTAACCTATGCGGTCTTATAATTCCATACTTAAGCACTTTATCGTTGTGCTTTTTTGCTATTAAAACGCATATCCTACGTGATTTCCTGTCGGCCATACGCTGGAGTTTTTGAAAATGTTCTGGGGTCAGAGTTCTAGCCAGATCACGCCGAAGCTTTGACATATTATCCATAAACTTGAATTGTCTATTCCTCTCTTTATCATAAATTTCGTTTAACTTTCGAATGGAGAAATGGTGAAGAATCGCATTAACCTTATCTGAATGGTGGTGTCCAGGAGTGATACCATAACATTTACGGCAGTCTAAAAAGGTCAGATTGAATGAGTGACATACAATTGTCCTCTTTGTCTGATTAACATATCTTTTGTAGAATCCAGCTCTCTTCACTCCTCGGCAATCCTTCTTCATTTTCCGACAAGACCATTTAACAAATTCCTTCCAACCAACTTTCCTCCGAAATGAAAATTTATATCATCACAAATCATTAAGGAACTCTTCTGAACCCAGTTTTTCTTCATATATATATGTGTGCGTATGTATGTTCAAATTAACATAGCCATACAAAACAAACAGTGAAGACTTAGAAACCTTATGTCTCAAAATGAGAGTAGGATATGACATCCAAGCAAAGCTAGGCATCTGCCAACTCCCGTTTTTGGTGAATGTCGATTAAAAAATCACTCAACCGATTATGATATAATTCAACTATTAGTACTTCATCACTTTATGCTACTTTGAGTAAATACAGCTGCTATTCAAGATTTAATTGTATTCTCGAATCCTATTCACTTTCTTGCCTTCAATTCAATGACTTATTGTTTGCTGCCTCTCAGAAATTGTTCAACTAATTCAAGTCACCGGAATAGCCTCGTTCAAGTACGAGCAGAGATCTTATGAGTAAGAACTTCCGTCAACTATTCATGTCGTCCCGGAATCGCACGTTAACTGCCCCACAAAGGGAAGTATTTATAAATAATGTGTGTATGTATGGAGAAACTGCTGTGCAAGGCAAATCATTTGATGACAATGTTTTAGCAACGTCCATTAGAATAAACCTGACTAACGTTCAAAGCACCAATTTGCTCTTTGAAAAGATGGTACAGGCAAACGAAGATATGAAGACCAAGAGCCGCTCCAAAACCAACATTTGTAAATTATAATAGTAGAGGGGTCGACACGAGGATATGGGATAAGGGACTGTACCAGGATAGATAGTTTATCAAAGGATGATGCTCGTATAACGTCTGGCGATATACCAAGTTTACGTTTTGACGCTGGACATCATCATGACTACTCTGGCAGAGGACTTCGGCCAAGGTGTGTCCATCGAGGTCGTCGTGACAACAAGACCAAACCTCTTCCATGAAAAGTATATTAAGTTTAAAATCGGGGTGCAAATGAAGGTGCTTTTACTCTTTTTACTTATTAATAATTGAGAAAGACCTATACTTGATTTATTCTTAATTTCTTTCCAACCATGGTTACTCGATGGAAGGCAGAGTTGTAAGACAATGATAATTGGGAAGGTAAGGCTTTCGGAAAATAATCATTTGGAAATGATTATAAATAGTTTTGAAAATGTCTTAGTAGGTGTTTTTACTCTTTTTACTTATTAGTAATTAAGAAAGACCTATACTTGATTTATTTTAATTTCTTTCCAACCATGGTTACTCGATGGAAGGCAGACTTGTAAGGCAATGATAATTGGGAAGGTGAGGCTTTCGGAAAATAATCATTTGGAAATGATTATAAATAGTTTTGAAAATTTCTTAGTAGATTTCAAATACCCATTACGTTTGCCTCATAATAATATTAAGATAATAATAAATTCATTTGAGAATGGTGACAAATTGAGGTGAGTTTTGTGGCCGGACACCTTTTCGTAGGGCCGAACTTTGTCTTTGTGCTATCTTTATAATGGGCTATGCAAGGTTTCGAGAAAGTGAGAACTTCCATCGGTTCTTAAAGGAAGGTATTCGCCATCGTATTCAGGTAAGATATACCTTCGAGTCCCTTCATTGCATTCGATTTCCCTCTAAATTTACGTGAATTCAACAGAAATATATCGACGATATGAAGACCAAGATGGTGTGGCCTCCGGTATGGTGGCAGAGTATGGACCGATTTCTAGAAATATATCTTCGTTTTAGATTTTATTTAACGCCCTACTGTCTACATTTGCGTTCAGAAGGTTAATGAAAGCGACCAGTAAAGTGTCCGTCATTGCGTGATCGCCGTAATAGGTCTCATTAGGTCAACAATAAAATGTCGGAATGCCCTGATGACCTTAGGGCAGATGTTTCCGCTCTCTTCTCATTATTCAGATCTATCATTCTGCTTCCGCATGTCCCCACATTCATACATGCGCAAGTAGACACATGCACAGACCTAGAATATAGTCTTTTATGCCGGCAGTAGATTGCATTGTTTAATGACAGGGAAAGACCAGTCTGTTAGTTAGTTTAACCTGTTGCAAAAAGAATGCGTCCCTGTTCTGAGGATGTCTGTAAACTGGCACGACAGACGACGACTCCTCACGTTTCCACCAGCACCACGGGAGGGTGTCTCGGGATGGCGTCGACTCGAACTTCCAAGTTAACCAACATGGAAGCCACCGCCGTCGTCCTTTGGTGCGTTCCGCCTCCAGGTCTTTTCATTTCGCAATTTTACGCAAAATGAAGAACCAATTTTCTATTCTAATAACCAGGCGACTCATGGCGATTTAAGGATAGAAATAAGGGATGTATTCAACCTATTTCGATCAGGACAATGCATGGTTGTTGGTTGAATTTTCACACAATCCAATTCAATTTCGTAAAGCCTTGCTTGCCAAAGGGCTTTATACTCTCGGCTGGAGGGGAAAGCAGGTTCGACCTCGCCTGAACTCGTCTCATCATAGGGTATACGTGACCCTAAAAAAGCCCACACCTTTCTCATATCACATATTTTGGTGATGAAGCAGTCAGGTATTTGCTATAGCAATCAGCTTACCTATTAACCGAAAATATGCTAAAAACTCGATTGGCATAGCAAATTTGCGTTTGCCTCATCCGAGCTTCTACAATAAAACATTAAAATGAAAAGATCCAGGCCTTCCTTAAAATTTACGTTTCGTTTAATAAGTTTGCTGATTGTAATAGTAAGTACGACTTTACTTTATCGTCATTCACACCACCGAAATGTGATATGGGAAAGGCATAGGTTATCTTGAAACTTCCTTCTGCCCTATGAACCTAAGGTACTCGTGAAAGTGTGGCGTAGTGGTTAACGTGTTGGGAATATATGTTGCACTACCACAAGCCGGGTTCGAGTCCCGCCGGAGATGCATATGAGAGCTTTAAAAGGTCAAAAGTTCAGCCGAATTCAGCTATGCGAACTCATATGAATGTTGAAAAATTCAACTATCAGTCCTTCGTCACCTCACATATATGATCTAATGGTAGTCTCGAAAACCTATTTTAAAAGGAAAATTAAGGATTCATATCTCGCATTAAGTATTGTTTCGAGCCTACCAGTATATCAGTAATATGAGATGTATTCACCCAATTTCGTTTAAGGTGATGAAGGACTGGTTGGAGAATTTTCCCACAATGATATAAGTTGAGCTGACGCTTCCATGGAATTTCACATAGACCTGCTTTCCCAAAAGTTTTTTCGCATTCCGGCTGAAGTGGACTGCGGTTTCGACCTCGCATCGGTCTTATCAACACCTTCAGCGGGAGTCGAACCGCGACAGTGCAGAATGGAGGCTTGAAGTATACGCTTGCTTCATCGACAATCCCACCAAAAGAATGTGATATGACAAAAGGCCTGGCCTGACCGATGCGAAGTCGAAACTGCAGTCCACTCCAGCCACGATGAGAACAATTTTTGGGAATGCAAGGCTCTGTGAAATTCGATGAAAACGTCAGCTCTACTCATATCATTGTGGGAAAATTCTTCTACCAGTCCTTCATCACCTTAAACGAAATTGGGTGAATACATCTCAGATTAAGGATTTGTAGTTTATATTTCCCACCCATCTATTCTTCAGTAACTCGTCCTAGGCTACCTAGGTTGACTAATTTTCGATTTAAGTAGTACTCGAGACTGTCAGTAATTCATAAATAAACCTTTATTCAAGAATTGCTGATCGTCTCGAAAGCTATTTATAACAAAATTATGTAATAGAAGTTGTTTGACCTTGTTTTCGCAACTCGGTCATGTTGGTAGGAAGACTTAAAGAAACGCATC